TATATATATATATATATATATATTTAATAAATCATTATCATTTCAAAAGTTATTATTCAAACTTAACAAAATAGATCATTGCCAACAAAACCATTAATATTGTTAAAATAAATTTTTATTATTGTCATACAAAAATACAAGATTAAAGAAGTCTAATCCAATTAATTGAATAGAGTATTATTGGGAGCTTCCTAATACTCAATTCCAATAGATAAACAAAATATACCGGTGTATTTACTTTATTCTTAAAAAGAATTTATTATAGCTTTTGTATCTCAAATACGCGAAGTGTGATCACAAGCATTAACAGGCTTTTAGGTGAAAAGGATCATTCCAGATATTCTATACTTAGTTTCAGGCAAATATAGAAATGAAAATGTATTAATACCCTGAAAAGTGAAAAAAAGAACTCGATGCTGTGATATGCTCCATGTCCTAATTCTTAAAACAAAATATTACTGCAAATAGACATGTAATAGTTCTTGCTAATACTCCTTAACATTGTTGACTCAGTCTGTAGGCTTCCGTCTCAGTAGGTTAAGAACATCGAGCTTATCAATCTTAGCAGCAAGTATGAAGTCGTTTTCTGTCAGCCCACCTGCGTGAAGATGCATCAGTTAGACTAATGTGTGTAATCTGTATTAGGTAGTAAATTTAAGAACAATAAACGTTAAAAAAACAACAATGGAAACATGCTTGATTGAGCCACCAAATACTGTTAATCTTAAAATATTGTATGGTTAACCTATGATATTACTGAAATCATCTACTACAGATACAAATGAGTTGCGTTAATAGCTACACCCAAAAGCTTCAAAGATAAACATACATATGATCAATATCAAAGCTTTATGTTATCTAACCAGAATGGCTCTAACATATTATCATTTACTACCATTTATGCAAATACAAATTTCAATTTTTTACAAATGGTATATCATAACCACAAGCAGAGGGTATGTTTTGTACAAGTTCAGTTAGAAAAGAAAAAGGGTGACGGAAAAGGCAGGAAAACCAGGTAAATCCTAATTAGCAGGACAATAAAAAAGGAGTATTTAAGAAAAATATTGCACCATTTCTGTTCATTCCTATTGAAAGATTTCCACCAAAGACTTGATATGAAAACAGACAATCCAAAGAAAAATGCATACATGATTCAACTAACTAGTCTGTTTATTTTAGTGACCTGTAAGTCAAAATTGATCAACAAAGGGTTAAATGAATCAACTCATTTGCCTCATTATTTAAATGGCCTATATTTCAAAAGAGGCAGATGAATGTAAAGATTCAAAATATATAATTTCTTTCCATTAAAGGTAAGTTTGCTTTGAGAAAATATTTTCAACTTTGTTACTTGTTTTCATTTTTAATTTTAAAAATGCTACTAAATTTTTTATTTTCTATTTTCAAAGATTTGTATAGAAAAAATGAAAACATTTATTATTTTCACTTTTTTCCATACAATCTTTGAAAATAAAATCACAAAATGAAAATAATATGCTATTTTTAATTAAAAGTAAAACTAAAAAATGAAAGCAAAAACATTTTCTCAAATCAAACATGTCCTTAATTTTCCTCCAATATTACATTTTCACATGTTGTACTCATCACTAAACATTCGTAGCCTTCATTAGTTTTACTTCCAATATACCACATGATCTCAAACAGGATTTTCTATTTTGTTTTCCTTTCCTTGTCACAACACATTTATGCAAATAAACAACAAATGAAAACTGAAGCTTATTTATTATGATTGAAGCTTCTGGAGGGACTCAAGTAATCTGCAATCAAAGGGTGATTTTCATAAATCCATTTAATCTCTCTCTCTCTCTCTCTCTCTCTCTGTGTCCAAAGAGAGAGGAAATCATTTGCTTTCCAGAGAAGCAGGTGATTAAAACCAGAAACCTGTGTAAATATTTGCGCTAAAATCTACAATATCTTCAAAGTTAAAATTAATGGATTTATAATGAAATAGAAATTGGAATCAAGACAGAACTGTGCTCATTTAACCCATGATGTTTATCTGCAAGCTAGTAGGCATCAAATCTTCTAAATGAATAAATTTTTTGAGTTAACGGTGTTATCAGTCCTAAACAATTTCCGGGTTTTGGTTTTGTCCCTGACTTTCAAAACTAGCAGTTTTTGTCTCTGTATTTTTTAAGGTACTCAAATTTAAGTTTCTAAAGCTAACAGTTTTCCCCTATACATGGACAAAATTTTTGGGTATTTTAAAAAATATAGAAACTAAAACCAATGTTTTAAAAATCAGGAATAAAAACTAAAATTTAAATTTTTTTAAAGATTAAAAACACCATTTTTAATTTCATTAAAAAATCAATAGTGCCTAATACACAGTACTTTGACAATATTTCTCTTCTACCAGCTTTAGATTAATAGAGTATTTAGAGTAACTTCATGGTGAAAAATAATCAGTTGTTTTTTGTGGCGAAGGCAAACAAAAAACAAATAGTTCCTTCTAGTTTTTCATAGTATCACCGCAAATTTGGGGGTAAAATTGACTCTCTAGTGTTACCCAAACACACTATGAATAACGTGAGCAATAACAAATCATACCAACAGCATGAGTCCAAATCTCAATAGTAACATTATTCCAGCCAACAAGGTGAAGATCAGGATGATGACCTGCATTATAAACATCTAGGTTACATTTTGCCAGTATCCTTTAAATTACAATAATCAATAATAAAATAAAAACAGAGCATGATACCTTCACTTTCAGCAAGAACAGCTACTACCCTGAAAAATTCCAATCCTTTGGTGAAAGTCTTCACTGTCCATGACCGCCTCAGCTTCATGACACCATCATCGTTTACCAAATTCCACTCAGCAACCTAACCAACCAACATCAATTTCCAAGGCAATGACACTTAAAAGGACTAAAATTGACATAAACAAACCTGTGGCATTAGAGTGTGTGCTGCACCCTCACTCATGGGCCGCAACTCCTTCAGATTGCATGGTACACATTTCTTATCTGTCAAACCTAAGACAGAACAAAGGAAAAATCGTTGAAAATTTATAAAACTAATCATAATTATTATTTTTTATATACTCAAATACTCATCCCCAAATTATCTACCAATGTATTCATCTTATAACAAAGATGATAAATCAGTTATCCGGAAAGACGATTTCTCAATGCATATTTTTTTACCTTTTATTTATTAATAAGGGAAATAGGCATTCATTTTCCAACTGCACACACACACACACATATAATTTTAATTTTAAAAAGTAATGGTTTCATCGAATACTCTTCTTCTTCTCTGTTGCTTCTGAACGTGTACTGCACAAACTAATCTTCCTCTTTCCAAAATCGTTTTTGGTCCCCAATCTGTCGGCCGTTACCGTCGCGAACAGAGCTGCTCCCCCAGCAGGCGACCACCTGGTGACCGCCGCTCCGCCGCCGAGGCGCAGCACCCCCTCCGCCGTTCTCAGCTGCACGATTCTAGAGAAGTATGTAAAGAGGTTTCTTGGTTGCTGCATATTCATAAATTCCTGGCAATGCGTTTTGTAAGCTAAATAAGTTAAATTTATTAGTTATGATGGGAATTAAGCTATTTCTTATTCCTTATTTAAAGTAGCAATACTAGTGTACTAGTAAAGAGCACTTAAGAATTAAGTATACACGTATCCTAGTTTAGAGTCGAACACGAGTGTCAATGTATCATTATTGTAAATTTGATAAATTTAAAATAATAATAATAATAACATTTTTAAGATAAATGAATATTTTTAATGAATTAAATATTTCTAAGATTTAGGATAAATAATTTATATTATAATATAAATTATTTTTAATATTGATATTTTTTAAATATATATATATATATATTTAAAAAATATCAATATTAAAAATAATTTATATTATAATATAAATTATTTTTAATATTGATATTTTTTAAATATATATATATATATATTTAAAAAATATCAATATTAAAAATAATTTATATTATAATATAAATTATTTTTAATATTGATATTTTTTAAATATATATATATATATATTTAAAAAATATCAATATTAAAAATAATTTATATTATAATATAAATTATTTTTAATATTGATATTTTTTAAATATATATATATATATATTTAAAAAATATCAATATTAAAAATAATTTATATTATAATATAAATTATTTTTAATATTGATATTTTTTAAATATATATATATATATGTAAAAAAATTATTTTTTTTTAAACTCAAATTAATAATGATAAAAAAAATTATAATATAGAGAGGTAGGAAATTAGGAATAGCGTGTAGAATAAAAGTTGCACAACAAATAAAATTTATAAACCTTTTTTTTTCTAATAGAGAAAAGTTAAAGTTAGAATAGGACACAATTATATGTAAAATCAAAGTTAATTACAAACTTTTTAAAGATTCTCAATGGAATTACAAACCGTTTGCTTTATTCTTATACCAAATTCGCATGAAAGAATATGAAACATGAGAAAAGTTAAACTTTGATCTCAAACCTAACTAGTAATAGTAAAAAAACTTAATCAATTATGTCATATTTGCATGATTTTATGACCTTTATTAATAACTATTGTGTAATTTTTTAAATTTTTTAATGATTAAAAATGTAAAAAAATATTATGTACATAAAAATAAAAATTTGTCTTTATATATACTGGTGAGTAAAAGACATTCCATGCCTTTCTTTAAACACCTACATTAGTGAATATGGTAGACAATTATTAAGAAAAATAATATATTAAAAAATAACTTTTATTAATCATTATTATACAATTTTTTAAAGGTTGAAATTCTCAACAATAATGTATTCACCAAAAACAAATAATTCCTTTATATATATAATATTATTAATACATTAAGAAATCATCTCTCAGTATTTGGTAAATAATTGTTGAAAGATGAATAGATTGAGCAATAATATAGAAATAAGTGAGTATTTGGATAAATAAAAATAATCATATATTTTAAAATAAAATCAAATTTTGTTTTTATTTTATATAATTATGATATTTGGTACAAACGTCAAAAATATTGACTAATCTTTGTCGAAGATCATAAATACATATAAAATAAGTATTTTTTTCAACATACTCTAAAAGAAAACAAAATTTCATTATACATCAAGAACTATGAAATTTTAGAATATAGATGGTGACAAAATTTGTTAAAAAAAAAAAAAGCAAGGAACAAATGAAGAAACCTTCTCATATTTTTTTATCATGAAAAAGTCATTTGAGGCAATTAGATTTGCTTATTTTTAATTCAATAATTTATTTTTTCTTTATCTCTCATCTTCCTAATTTATCCTATACCCTTTATAGTTCAAGCATTTTTTCGTACTAAAACACTATCTCGACATTATGTAACTCCATGGACTTGTACCTCAAACCACCATAATAATAACATGATCGTGTTGTTAAGATAAAACTCTAATCCGTCATAAAAATCATTATGTCATCATTTCACCGTGAACTTTGAGCAAACAAAATCAGTTCAATAATAAAAGAATACAATAAAAAAATTCACAAGTCATATCAAAATGGAAGTTTAAAATTTATATTCAAACCAATATCAAGCAAATCAAAAATTGTAATTTATATATAAGGTGAAAGAAAGATGAAGTAAGTAGGCAATGACATCAAGAACATGAGATCAAGAAATGTGATGGATCTAAACGAAAACTCATTGAAATCAGTCTTAATGTGTATTTGTCTTATACACATTATTTTTCTTAAAATTTGTTTTTTTTTCTTCCACTCCACTCCATTTTTTCTTCTATTTTTCTCTATATTTATCATCACATCACATTTCTTGTCTTTTAATATATATGTTTTTCTTTTTGTCTTTCTTTTCACCATACTACTCAAATATGAGGTTTACCTTCAATTATTCTTTTCCTTATTTAATGCACCGCATGGTACACAATTTTCTAGTCCCACAAAACTTTCTCAATCTAATAAGTGAATTCCTATTCGATGAAACTTTAAACTTGATCCTTTTGTATCTTAATGACATAATAAGTACATACAATAATAATGGACAAGTTTGAGTTATATTTTAAAGAGTAACATTCATGTTGAAACGATGACAAGTGAAACTCAATTAGTGATGAATATACATACAAACAACGGAAAAGAACTAACATACGAGCAATATAACAAATAAAACATAAGCTATTGAATAGCCATAACATGCAGGACAAAAAAGAAAGACAAACTTATTTATTGTGTGAACCCACAGAGACGAGATGCTAGAAGAATCTCTGTTTGGAGAAAAAAAAAAGTAATGGTAGGTTGGAGATCGAGAAGAACCCAAAAGAATGAATGTACAAAGAAAAAAAAAAGATTGATTGGGTAAAATGTTGCATAGATGATGTCACTTATCTTTGTTAATTAACAAACTACTGATTATTTCTCTCATAAATGTGGCATCGCAACCCTAGTTTTGTATCTTAATGACGTGATGAGTACAGACAATAATTATGGGCAAGTTAGAGTTATTTTTAAAGAGTAATATTCATGTTGAAACAATGACAAGTGAAACTCGATTAATGATGAATACACATACAGACACAAGAAAAACATTAGCATACAAGCAATATAACAATTAAAACATAAGCTATTGAAAAGTCATAACATGCAGGACAAAAAAGAAAGAAAAACTTATTTATTGTATGAACCCATAAGTAGATGAGATGCGAAAAGAATCCATGTTTGGAGAAAAAAAGGTAATGGTAGGTTGGAGATCGAGAAGAATCCAAGAGAATGAACATACGAAGAGAAAAAAATGGATTAATTGGATAAAATTTTGTATAGATGGTGTCACGTATCTTTGTTGATTAACAAAATGCTAATCGTTTCTTTTGGAAATTTGGCATCACAATCCTAGTTTTGTATCTTAATGACATGATGAGTAAATACAAGAACTATGGGCAAGTTAGACTTATATTTTAAAGAGTAACATTCATGTTGCAACAATGACAAGTGAATCTCAATTAGTGATGAATACACATACAGACACAAAAAAATCATTAACATATGAGCAATATAACAATTAAAACAAGTTATTGAAGAGTCATAACATGCAGGACAGAAAAGAAAGACAAACTTATTTATTGTGTGAACCCACATGTAGACGAGATGCGAGAAGAATCCATATTTGGAGAAAAAAAGGTAATGGTAGGTTGGAGATCAAGAAGGATCCAAAAGAGTGAATGTACAAAGAGCAAAAAATGGATTAATTGGGTAAAATATTGCGTAAATAGTGTCACTAATCTTTGTTGATTAACAAACTGCTAATCGTTTCTCTCGAAAATGTAACATCGCAACCCTAGTTTTTTTTTTCTTTATGTATAATGTAACAAAGTTTGAATTTTCAATACAATAACTTCCAAATCCATCATAGTTATATTTTGTTATTTTATTTTATAAAATTAGTTGGGTTGATTTTTTTTATGCGATTTTATTTAAAAGTACATCTACGAGTAATGATTTATATTTATTAATTAATATTTTAATTTGCGAATTATATATGACTAGTATTTTAACATATGTAATTCATATGTTAAATATTTATTATAAATAGCTATAATTTAAAATAAATTATTTATATAAATAGATAATACATTTAAATATGTAAAATATCTTTAAAATTTGAATAAGTAAATATCTTTAAATGAGAAAAATTCAATGACATCAATTTAACTTTTATCAACTATTATACTATTTTACAATTTACAATTTTGTCAAGCCAATCGTTGAATTATAAATTCATGTCTCCTTGTATGTTTATATCAAATTTTGTCAAAATTGAACAATAATTTAATGGTAGTCAAAATATTCATATTTTAGTATATTTTAAAATATATACATTACGTTAATTTTATTCAGTAAGAATGAAATATCAAATTATATTGAATTAATATTAAATTTTGTATATATGATCTAGAAGTAATTTTTTTTTCAATCAAATGGTAAATTTCAAAAAATTCACAATAATTAATACATGAAAATAAAAATAGATGATAAAAGGTTGGCACATAACTAAAATTAATTATTGACAATAATTTTTTCATCTTAAAGGCTTTATAAAATGTATAAATGAATTTAGATTTTAAAATGTTAAATTATATCAAATGTGAATCACCAAAATAAATTGTTTTAGTAGGATCAATGAAATCTAAAATTTTTAAATACTAATGAAAAAAGTCAAATAAAGATAAATAACAAAACATATAATAATTTATGAAAATATTTTATTATTGTATGATTTATGAAAATATACGATACTGATTGATATGTTCTTGGAGGACATATTTTTAACCGTTTCTCTTGAAATACAAAAGACAAAAAAAGATGACTATTTTTTAAATGACACCAAGAGAGTATAGGTGGTCGTAGTAGTTTAGGTGTTAGAAAAAGTGCAATAGATTAGAAGAAAAAAAAAAACTATTAACAAAAATATGTAACTATAATTCAACATATAAGAGTTATGAGATATTAAATTAGTCTTTTATTTTATTTTATAATGTATATGGTAAAATTAGGGTATAAATTGACAAAAAGTTTGTAAATTAGCTAAAAATTTATAAAATACAAGTTATAAATTTGGAGTGACACGGACACACTCAATCGTCAATTCACCAAAAACAAGGTAGAAAAATGTTGATTCATGCGATAAAAATAGACTAAAAATATTGATTTGTTCTATCTAAAGATAGATTGATAGACTACTTCATCAAAAATAATAAATTAAGATAAAAAACAATCCACTTCAATTGTAAAGCTACAGATTTTAGATTATTCTCGCCTTTGTGTTATTATTTCTTCAACAAAATTTAACTTTACCTGAATTTGGCTAAAAAGGACACTCCTATCAAAAGGAAGAAATTCATTTAAACCAAAAATATATGTTCACTAGCAACTATAGATTTATAGGTACAAGAAAGACAAATATTAGAAGCATAATACAATTTATACCAGAAAGTAGGTTGCCTCTCTATCGTGGCCTGGTTTGTTAAAATAGAAAATTAAAGATTTACCACTCATCACTTCCATTTTTTCAATTTGCTAATCCGAGGAAGTCCAACACAACACACATGCCTTCTTAGTCTCATTCTTACATATAAGTTACATATCCTGACTTTAAAAATAACATTTAAAAATAAAATATGTTAGTGAGCTAACTCACTACATCATTTGACTCAGAATGATGGGTCAGTTTGTGAGTAATCAACTTATTTGACCACTTCTAATAGAAGTTGAAAAGTTGTAGACTTATAAATTAACTGATTGAAATGAAAATGTGTGATAAAATTAGTTGTTAAGCTAACTAATTAATATAACAAAACATATTTGTTTATTTGATAATGAAGTGAGAGAATACCATATAGACAAAATGATTTCTAAAAAAATATTGATAAAACAAAATTTAAAGTAAATTAATGAAAATAAAAAAGAAAGAGAAAAAAAAAGGGACATGTTTGGTATAATTGGCTTATAAGCTCATTGAAATCTTACAAACTATTAACTTGGAGCTGAAAAACTTTATGTTTATGAACTAGATAATTGAATTAAAAATGTTTAGTAAAATTAATTTGTAAGTTAGCTAATAAGTGTAAGATGACATAAAATGATTTTTACCATTAGAGTAATAAAATGATATGATAGGAAAATGATTTATAAATTAAAAGGGTGTAAAAATTAAAGTAAATTAATGAATATAAAAAGAGAAAGAGAAAAATAAAATTGAGGGTGTGTTTGGTATTACCAACTTATAAACTCATTGAAACCTTATAAACTGTAAACTTAGAGTTGAAAACCCGTAAATTGATGAGTTAGATAATTGAATTAAAAATATTTAGTAAAATTGATTAATAAGTTAGTTAATAAGTGTAAAATGACATAAATAATTTTTATCATAAGAGTGATAAAATGATATTAATAGGAAAATAATTTATAAATTAAAAAAGTAAAAGAAGTTTTGAAATAATTTAATGAAGATAAAAAGGAGAAAAAGAAAGAGTCAAGAGCTTATAAGGTATAAATTACATTGAGTAACTTATAAAAATAACTTATAAACTAAAAAAAAAGCTCGTATTAACTTACACATCAATTAATTATAATGAAACTAATTTATAAGTTAGACAAATAAACTTATAAGTTCGTTGAATAACCTATTAAGCATATTTCAAGAGCTTATATACTATAAAATACTTCAAGTAATTTATGAAAAATAAATTATATAAGTTTATAAAACAAGTTCCCACACCAAACAATCTTGTTTTGATCAAAATAATGTATAAATTCTTCAAATATCTTGTGAAACACAATTTAACCTACTTTAACTGGAATGAAATATAATTTAAGAAATGAGCAAACTTAAAAAAAAAAGTAGATGGAGTAAAAATTATTATATTAAAAATAACATTTATTATTATATATATTTGTACATATTTTTTGTTTTTCATTCAACTAAATAAATGGGCAAAAGCAAAATTTCCAATTATTTATTTTATTTCAAACCAAGAAATATAAATTCTTCTTTATTTTTATTATTATTTTATAATCTTATTTTTTCTAATTCACTCTTTGTCCAATCAAAACATAAAATAGAGACAAGGGGGAAAAGAAAAAAAGAAAAAAGAAAGCATAGAGCACACATAAAAAGAAAAGGAGAGGAAAGAAAGGGCGAAGTTTAAAAAGAAAAACCCTTTGTCCTGTGTAGCGTGAGTGAAGCCCTAGACTACACACTTCGCAATGGCGGTTGTTGCGCAAACCCCTGACATCGCCGGCGACCGACAGTCCGGCCAGGACGTTCGCACCCAAAACGGTACCGTATTTCTCTCTCTCTCTCTCTCTTCTTCTTCTTCTTCAACCATTTCTAACATCGTTCCTTCACTCTGTGAATCCAGTGGTGGCATGCCAAGCCGTTGCGAACATCGTCAAAAGCTCCTTGGGCCCCGTTGGCCTCGACAAGGTACTGTTTCTCCTTCTCCTTCTCTCTATCTCCATAGATCTTACACCAAATAAGCAATGTCCGATGCGATTCAATGCGCTTTCGTTTCAGATGCTCGTCGACGACATTGGCGACGTCACCATCACCAACGACGGTGCTACTATTCTCAAGATGTTGGAAGTGGAGCATCCTGCTGCCAAGGTGAGCGAAACTTCACTCGCTCTTCGAGTTTTCTTCTTTTGCTTCATCGCTGTTACTCACTCTTGTGCGCGTGTGTGTGTTTTTATTAGGTTTTGGTGGAGCTGGCGGAGCTTCAAGACAGGGAAGTTGGAGATGGAACTACTTCTGTCGTCATTGTAGCTGCTGAGCTTCTCAAAGTAAATGAAACGCTCTCTTTTTGCCAGCGTTTTTGTTTTTTCTCGGATGTGATGGAACTAACGAGTTTTATTTTATGCAGAGGGCTAATGACCTTGTCAGGAACAAGATTCATCCAACCTCGATTATCAGTGGATATAGAGTAAGTGTCTTTTAATTTCTCAAACTTTTCTGAATGTCTATTGCATTTTTTTTAATCTTTGTGGCTACAATTATGAAATTGAGGATTTGCGTAGTTTAACTTATATTTATGTTGATTATTCTGGATAGCTTGCTATGAGAGAAGCTTGTAAATATGTAGAAGAAAAGCTGTCTGTCAAGGTAAGATCTCCTTAATAAGCCTTTATATTTTGTATGTCTATTTTTAAAGCTTAAGTTATCTGTACAGGGACTGAACTTTTTTTGTTCCTCACTTCCTTGTCGTCTCCTCTCCCTCTTCTTAGATTGTTGATAGATGGTACTGTTAGCAAATTTGAAAGGCAATGATGTTAGTTCCATAATTGTTGCTCCATCACATTTTTTGCAGTCATGGCTGTGTAGAGTTGTTGTATGCTGTATTCCATTCATTGAGTTTTTATAATTTGATTTCCTTAAATTTGTCATTGCCCAATAATATCATACTACTGCCTAATATGCTTATTTTTCCTGTCTTCCATTTTGCATTGATGTTACAATCATTTACTAATGCAAAAGGTATTTTGGGATGTGACTTGCGGGTATGAAAGCTTTCATCTATTGGCTATTGGTTCCTTGTCTTATTTTCTGAGAAGCATGGTTTGGGTCTTAAAGCTGTTGTTATGTCCAAAGATTAATGCATTTGCAAATTGTTGTATATCATGTGTTACTCAGTAGGATTGTGCTCTTGACTTGTAGGTTGAAAAGCTGGGAAAGGATTCACTAATTAACTGTGCCAAGACCAGTATGTCGTCAAAGTTGATAGCTGGTGATAGTGACTTCTTTGCCAATTTGGTAAGTTTGTAATTGCAATTACTTTATGTTGAATATTGATAGTTTATACCACATGATTGATGCACGCCATGTTCCGCAAATTATAGTTAGTTCGTATCCAATTGTATAAAGCTTGTATCCTATTATAGTTTTTAGCTGGATTAGTAATTTGAAAACTTGATATTTTGATAAGGTTGTATTCTTTTTTATCCTCATATCATTCAAACTCCTTTTTAAAATAAAATTTCTCCTAGCCTTCTTACTAGATTTTACACTTTCTTTCAGCTCGAGAAGAAAGGAACTAAAATATTTTCTTGATTTAAACTTCACAGTTCCTACTAGGATCTTTTAAGTAATATCTTGGATTTGAGCTTTTATAGATAGAAAAGAAGTAGTTGAGAGGGGAAAACCTTTTAAAAGTGTCCATGTTTCTCATTATGTAGGCTCATTGTTCTGAATTTACTGATTATTAGTAATGAAAATATTGCTAAATGCTATTTTGGGACATCTAATCTTGTCTGTAGACTGTGGGTATAGGTTTGTCATTGTTTTTTCGGCAGTGAAATTAACTTATGTGTGCAATTGAATTTACACAGGTTGTAGATGCAGTGCAATCTGTAAAGATGACCAATGCTCGAGGTGAAGTTAAATATCCAATCAAGGTTGGTAGTAGAATTCCTCTGATTTGTTCTTTTCCTTGACGTAAAATGCCAATTTTGAGCAATGTGTTGAACAACTGTAATATGTAGTTTAATCTTGCTTCTTACCTGCTTTAATTTTCATAGGATTTTAATAGATTTAATTCCTTGTTTCTTTTGCAACTCATGTTCCAGGGAATCAATATATTGAAGGCTCATGGAAAAAGTGCTAGAGACAGCTTTCTGATGAATGGTTATGCTCTAAATACTGGACGTGCAGCTCAAGGAATGCCCCTTAGGGTTGCCCCTGCAAAAATTGCCTGTCTTGATTTCAATCTTCAGAAGACAAAAATGCAATTGGGAGTTCAAGTATTAGTCACTGATCCAAGGGAGCTAGAGAAAATTCGTCAAAGGTACTGTCAGTATGATCATATGGCTTCCATATTACTATGATACCATCCCTCCTGGATTCATTTTCCTAAAATATAATGAGCATAAATCTATTATCTTATTGAAAAATAAAACTGTATAACATATGCATAAGTAGAAGTATTTTGGATGATAGGCATGAAGTCAATCCAATGCCCTGTTAAGCTAAATACTCAAAATATTATGGTCAATTATTGATTTGTGTAGTTCTTATAAAAAATATTGATCTAATTGTGTAAGCCATCTCATGTTAAGTTTCACTGTTGGAATTTGCTTTTACTTGGTTTGGGAGAATGCTCCATCCATATCATCTTGCAAGATAAAATACAAGTGGCCATTTTTTTAAATTGCAGAGAGGCTGATATGACTAAGGAACGTATTGAAAAACTACTGAAAGCTGGAGCTAATGTTGTACTGACTACTAAAGGAATTGATGACATGGCACTTAAGGTATGTTTTTTTATGGTACTTTTCTAATGACATTTTTCCTCGAGTAAGAGGATTTAGTTATATTCTTACATTTAGCATATCAAAGAAAATGTTTAGCATCTCATGTTTTGATCCTTGTATAAGTCACTGATCCTGATACCAAATCTGAAAGAGGAAGCAAACCAATAGACAATAGTGCAGTACTATGGTGTCTGTTTAAGTGCATTCAAATTAAAACATTTTTATTAATCATCAGATTTATATCTTGATTATAGATATTACTTAAAAGATCCTAGTAGTTGAGAAGAAAGGCTATTGTGTTCTATTTCTGATGAGTGACATGAGAAGTAATGAATTTATGTATTTCTTTCTGACTTTAATTCTTGTTTCAGTATTTTGTTGAGGCTGGGGCAATTGCTGTTAGACGTGTGCGTAAGGAGGATATGCGTCATGTTGCCAAGGCTACTGGTGCAACATTGGTAGGCTTGTTTAATTTAAATTTCTTGATTTGAATTGAAATATTAGGAAGTTGGCACTGAAGTTGAGTATTTATTGCAATAGAATTTTTATTTATCCAAGTGTTGAATACTAGTTTCCTTTATGTATCACTGGACTTGATTTCTACGTTCACACAGGTCTCAACATTTGCTGATATGGAAGGGGAGGAAACATTTGAACCATCTTTTCTTGGATGTGCTGATGAGGTTGTTGAGGAGCGAATATCTGATGATGCCGTTGTTATGATCAAAGGGACCAAAACTACAAGTGCAGTAAGTGATTTGATTGACTTGTAGAATTTTATCTTTCTCAGTAAAAGATTATTTTCGTAAAGACAGAGAATAGCACAAGGAATTTGAAGGATCAAGAATCCTCAATGGCTGAAAAAGGGAAATCCCTATCTACTGCACATTGTGGATAGCTTATGGTATCACCTGATTCCGTGTTATTTTTCAATAGGTATCTTTGGTTTTAAGAGGTGCAAATGACCATATGCTTGATGAGATGGATAGAGCACTGCATGATGCATTATCAATTGTCAAGAGAACTCTTGAATCAAATACGGTAGATATCCTGCATTCCTTAGCTGCTTTCATTTTACCTTGGTTGAAATTTTTAGATTTGGTTATTCAAGTGATCTCTTTTTATGTTGTTTTAGTTGTCTTAATATGATTTCTCTTAATTTGTTCTTTTAGTTGTATTATAAACTAAATCCAGAGAGCCTAAAGTGAGGTCAATTAATTTGGATTCTATTAACTACATCCAGAATTGGCTCTAGCAAACATTTGTGGCTTACAGACTGCTACAAGCATGCTCTTTCATCAAGCTATACCCATTTAGCCACATAAATTTTTGTTTGTGTAGTAAATGACACTTTTGTGTTGTATTATAAACTACATTCAGAGTGTGCTACAGCCCAAAGTAAGGCCAATTAATTTGGATTCTAAAAACTATTACAACTTATGGACATTTTACTTTATGAAATACGAGATTCTACTTGTCAAGAGTGAAGATTACATAACCATTCTTGATTAATATTTTAAGGTGGCTTCTAGGTTGTTTTAAGCTTTTGGCCAGATTTGTTCCCTGACTTGAATGTATGCAGTGAGTGCAGAAGGAAATTTATAGTGGAAATCATGAAATGTATGCAGTTAGGTTGTATAGCTTACTATCAGCAACAGTGAGGATTTGGGTGAGCTGGGGATGTGGGGTTAGGATTTTGATGGTGAAATGGATACTCCTTCAGTCTTCATTGATTGTAGTGAATTATATCATCCTATGCATAGGCCTACACTTAATAGATACTCCTCCTTTCCCCCTTCAGTTTCCTATTTTGTGTGTTCTTTGCTTGATTTTTTTATATATAAAATTCAGGTGGTAGCTGGTGGAGGTGCTGTTGAAGCAGCATTATCAGTTTATTTGGAATACCTTGCTACAACTTTAGGATCTCGGGAGCAGTTGGCTATAGCAGAATTTGCTGAGTCTCTGTTAATCATTCCAAAGGTAAGTTACAAGCTTCTGCTTATTTTTCATATAACTAGGGTGGTGGGCCCTTGTTCAACAAATGGTGTAAAGTTTGATCGCCATCCCCAGTCCAATAATTAAGTTTGAGTATAGCTCTGTGTAGTTTCTATACAAGATAGTTAATTCTGTAATTTTCTCCGTAATGGTAGTCTAGTGGTCTTTTGTGGGTTGAATGTGATATAACGGATTACTTTTTACCTGGTGCAGGTTCTTTCTGTTAATGCTGCTAAGGATGCCACCGAGCTTGTTGCAAAATTACGGGCGTATCACCATTCAGCGCAAACTAAAGCTGATAAGAAACATTTATCAAGGTATTTACTTACTAGTAATTTTAACTGTAGCATTTCGTTTGTATTTGTCTTCTTCCTAGCTTTGGGTCTGTGTGTTGAATTTATCCTTGTAAAGTCGTGATACGTGTAGGTGTTAGTATTTTCTTCCAACCTGTGTGTATAGGAATGGTAATTCATCTGATATGCTTAATTGCTTACACACAAAAATTTCATAACCAGTTGACGTGAAGCTACTGACATGGTTTTGCAAGATCATGTGTCATATTTTGGGTTATTTGGGTGTTTTGTGTGTATGTATTTGGTTGTAGTTTTTTGGACAGGTAAAATAACTTTTTTGCATCTGCCCATAATATAGAGATTCAAGTATTATTCCAACATGGGAATACGTTAACCGAAAGAAAAGTAACCATTTAAATGATGCTGGATAAGCTGTAGTATTTTTCTATTGCATTAAAATATCGATATTGTTTTGCTTCTTTTTTCCCCAGCATGGGTTTGGACCTTTCGGAAGGAAAAATCAGAAACAATTTGGATGCTGGAGTCATTGAGCCCGCAATGAGCAAAGTCAAAATTATTCAGGTACGTATTTAGTTAAATATCATCAGTTGTTAACTTCGTGAAACAGCTTTCTATACAGCTGTCTGAGCATTTTTTTTTACCAGTTTGCAACTGAAGCTGCTATCACTATCCTTCGAATTGATGACATGATCAAGCTTGTCAAGGAAGAAAGTCAAAATGGAGAGGATTAAAGTGTGTAATTGAATCTAGGAGCCATTTACTTCCCAGTGCTTACGAAAGGTGGGGTTTTGCAGGCTGTTGGTGTGCATTTGAAGAGGGTATCTACATTTTATCTTCAATGCCCTTGATGTTCTTGAAGGGGAAATGTTCTAATTATGTCTCTGAAAGTAGCGATTATTATATTTAAATCTTAGCATTTTATATTCCTACAAATTTTAGGCAAACATTTTTGGTCATGCATTGGCTGGTTGCATGTTTGTACATGTCTTTCTGAGGCTGTGTTTGGTTTGTGGAATTTTGATGTTGCATTGGTAGTATTGATTTTTTTTAATCCAAGAACTAAATACGTGTGCAAATGGGGTTAACAAGCCATTTAATCTTAAATGTTGTGAGGGTTCATAATATATGCTAACAATAGAATTTTTCGTTGTTGGTGAAACTTTTGGGTGGCTATAACAGATATCTCCGGAGACAAAAATGGTAACCAAGTTGAATGTAGGTGAACTTGTATTTAATATGATGAATATAATTGGTGATGACATTTTATGTAACTTCTCGAGGTCTTGTCATTTTTATTTCTTAAGCTCCATTACTCCAATTCCATCAATTGCATTCAAGTACCTAGATGACATAGAATATGAAATGATTAGCCAAAGAATTCACCTGGAAAATAAATTCATATTACAAGCCACTGAAGTCACATTTCGGTCATCCGAAATTGAAATTACCAAATAGCAAATCAATTCTTCAGTCTTTATAAAGATTCATCGATATTAAGCAACCGAAACACGTCTCCACACGAAAAATCATCCTTACATGCTTTCCGCAATAATGATTCATCAAAACAGCTTTTTCTTGAATCTTTAGTGATTAAAAAGGTAAATTTTCCGTCTCGAAAAAAAAAAAAGTTTCAGAAGATTCAAGCCAAGGAGCGTTTGGAGACAGAGCAAGCTCGTGTGCTCAACGAAAACAACACTCAAGTAAAATCGATAATAAGGAAATTCAGAAACGAGAAACTGAAAATCCAAACAGAGATAAACGAGAGAAAGATAAAGCATTGATAAAATTTTCTCGACAGAACGGTTCTTTTTTCTTCTTGATTTCTTCTATTATTTTTCCCTCTTTCAATTCTGAGGAGTCTAGTTCTAATACCAATATATAAACCGCTTCTGTAGGCGGTTTTTGTTCTTTTAACGTATGGGCTAGGCCCAAGCCCAGTCTGGCCTCTATTTAACCGTCTATAACTTTATTTCATTTTCTTAATCAATTAAGTTTGCTTTCACTATTATTTGTTAATTAAATAATTCAAAACATAAATACCTGAAAAAATTAATTGCTAAAAATCAATATTTTATGAGAATATTTTTTCAAAAGTTTTTGATATAGTGTTTTAAAGATTATTTTCACTCTCATAAAACCCAATGACTTATCTTAATCTTACGCATTGAATATTTAATTTAATTTATTAAATTTTATTTATTTTAAATATATTTCTTAATTTTTAAATTTTTAAATTTAATTTTAAAATCTTAATAAACTAAATTAGGATTATTGTAGTCTTTATCAATCTTAATCTACTTTTATATATCTATTAGAATACAAGAGAATGAGATTCATTCTCTCCACTATCTCAAGTAAATATTTTCTTATTGAATAATGACATATATAATAATAATAGTTCAGGTCAGAAGGTCAGCATTGAGAAAACTCGTATCTTCTTCTCAAAAAATGTGACTTGGGCGGTTAAGAAAGAGATCAGCGATGCTTTCAAATTTCAACGTACTGATAACCTTGGTAAGTATCTAGGAGTTACTATCCATCACGAGAGAGTTAATCGTCGTCTCCTTAGATCTGTGATGGAGAAGGTGAATCAAAAGCTTAGCTTGTGGAAGACAAGAAACTTATCTTTCGTTGGTCGTTTGACCCTCACCAAATCTGTCCTCGCGGCAATTCCCTCCTACACCATGCAAATAGTTTTCTTTCCCCGTCAGGCTTGTGATGAAATCGATAAGTCATGTAGATCATTTTTGTGGGGCCACACAAGTGACCAGAGGAAGATCCATGCGGTAGCTTGGTCAAAGATCTGCAAACCTAAAAATGAAGGAGGTCTAGGCTTGAGAGAGATGAGGCTTGTTAATAGATGTTTTATGATGAAAAATTGTTGGAGCATCTGTTCTCAGCCCTCTAAATTATGGGTCCAAGTCTTGAGAGATAAATATAAGTGTGGGAATGAAATGATGCCAGTTATTAAGAAGAAACCAACCTCCTCAAATACTTGGAGAGGTATTTGTGATGCGTGGTCACCAGTCCAACCTCTCATTGCATGGAATGTTGGGGATGGTAAACAAGTGCAGTTTTGGATGGACAGCTGGCTCCCTTCCCGAACCTGTCTGTTTGAGGTGTCTCTAGAACCAGTTCCGGACCAGGAGAAAGGTAAATTAGTATCTGAATATATCACTGAGGAAGGCTCATGGGACCTAAACCATATTCGTTATTTGCTTCCTACCTCATTTTGGTTTGAGGTAATAGGGTCTGCCCCCCCTTCTTTGGTAACTGACCCAGATGTTTTGGTTTGGGGTGGGTCCTCAACTGGAACCTTCTCTATTAAATCTGCATACTATGCAATTCGCACAATATCAAATGGAACGAATGTAGTATTTAATTTAATTTGGAAGTGGTGCGGTCCAGAACGAGTAAGATGCCTATTATGGCGAGTGGCTCATGAAAGCTTGGTAACAAATGATTGGCGCAGTAGAAGGGGCCTAACAACTGATCCACTCTGTCCTATTTGCAAAAGAGAAAGGGAAACAACGCTACATGTACTACGTGACTGCCTTTTTGCAAAGTCTATCTGGTTATCTCTTTATAACGACACCCCTGGGTTTGACCTTATCTCAAACTCTATTCTTGATTGGTTGGAACATAACCTATCAAGAGGAAACAAAGGTTGGTCTATCACCTTTGCAGTGACTCTAGACGCTAATTGGAAGGCTCGCAACACCTTTGTCTTTCAACAATTCCAGCTTAATACTACTCTTCTGTTGGGTGAAATCCGAGGTCGAAGTCGTGAGCTATCAAATAGATATAGCCTGACAGCTAATCGTGGAGTCCCTCCTCCTCAATCAATCCTATATATTGGGTGGAAGGTGCCTCTCCAAGGTTACTTAAAGCTTAACTGTGATGGGGCAGTCAATACATCTCGGGTTGCCTCCTGTGGTGGGGTCCTGCGTGATAACCAGGGTAATTTCATGTTAGGATTCTCCTGTCGGATTGGGGTTTGCTCCATCCTTCATGCTGAACTTTGGGACATATTCTATGGTTTAAAGATCCTCAGAGGTAGAGGCCTATGTGATAACATTATTAGTGAGTCTGACTCAATAAGTGCAGTTCAATTTTTAAATAAGGCTTTTTGACCAAAGTGGGGCAATTTGTAAACTTATTTACGTAAATAGGACTGTTTGTAAACAATATACACCTTTGGGGTTGTTTACAACGGTGTTCCTATGGGCCATAGCAACACCCATGCCACGTGACATTTTTTAAACTCCACGAAAGCCATGAAAGCCATATTGATAGTGTCGCTACAGCCTATAGCGCCACAAAACAGCTTCAATAAAGTCGCTATAGCCTACAGCGCCATATATTTAATATAAAAAACTGCTTAAAAAAATATAAGTAAATAAATAAAGAAAATGTGGGTAAAATTAATTAAGTTAATAATTTAAAAAGAATAAATATATATAAAATAGAAAACAATTTATTTAATAATTTAAAAAAAAAAAAACTTCAGAGTAAGTGGCGCTATGGCTTATAACGACACTGTGTCGCTATAGGCCATAGCGCCACCCTTTAAAATATATAAACATAAATAGAAAAAATAAAAAAATATATATATTAAATAAAGAAATTAATGGAAAAATAAGTTAAAAAATAGTAATTAAAATTTATATGATAATATAAAATAAAGAATTAAATAAATAATATAGTTAATAATTAAAAAAAACGTCAAACTTAAAGACGCTATGGCCTATAGCGTCACTGTGTCCCTATAGGCCATAGCGCCACTGTGTCCCTATAGGCCATAGCGCCACGTTTTAAAATATATAAACATAAATAGAAAAAATAAAATATATAAAATATATAGAAATAACAGAAAAGATAAATATATAAATATAGTTTTTAATAATATTCATAAAATATATTTAAATGTGAGAATATACAAAAGAAAAGAAATTAGTTAATAAATAAGTTTATAAATTACAAATTAATATTTAACTGCTAATATAAAATAATTTTTTTTTAAAATAAAATAAGTTAATAATTAAAAAAAAACAAATTAATTAGTGGCGTTATGGCCTATAGCGACACTGTGTCGCTATAGGCCATAGCGTCACTCTTATATATAATTAAATATATATTTTAAAATTACGTTTTTAGATAACTAATTTTTATTTTTATAAATATATAATAAGTAAACTGAGTTTATTATTTTTAGGTTACATTTAAATTATTTTAGTTTTTTTCGTTTTTTTTCTTACATGGTGTGGCTATGGGCTACATCATTTTTGTTGGTCCATCAACTGTCTTGGCCTAACCCATAGCGACACTGTTGTGGCTCATTCCAGCCCACCCTAGGCAAAAAAAAAAAGCCACGTGGCATGGGTGTCGCTATGGACCATAGCGACACCGTTGTAAACAGTCCCAAAGGTGTATATTGTTTACAAACAGCCTCGTTTGCGTAAATAAGTTTACAAATTGTCCCACTTTAGTCAAAAAAAACCTTTTAAATATAGGATGTCCTAGATTTCACCCCTGTTACGGTTTGACCAATCAAGTGGTGAAGATGGCTGAAGACTTTAACACTATTGAGTGTACTCATATTTTAAGGGAGGCTAATCAGGTAGCAGACTGTTTTGCCAAGAGAGGGCTCTCTCTGCCAGAAGGGGTTCACATATTCGATTCTCCCCCGTTGTGGAGTGTTTCCTTTTTATTTGCAGATGAGTCTGGTGTAACATTTCTTCGTGATTGCTAGTTTTCTAATCTTTTGTTAGTTTTTTCTTGGGCTTTTAGCCCCGCATGAATAAAAAAAAAAACCGAAATTCAAATCAGAATGGATTAAATAAAAGTAGAGAAAAAAATATTAGAATCAATATAGTCACAATTAAATAAAAGTTTAGCTGTAAAAATTTCTTTAAATCAAGTATTTTTTTTTACAAAACTTAAGTTAAATTCCTTATATTAATTGGTGTTGTTCTTTAATTATAATTAGAATTTATTTTGGTAATATATATTTATATTTAATATAGATCTCATTAATATATATATATATATATATATATATATTTATTTATTTATGCATATTATCAAATATATGAAAAAGAGATACTTAACTGCAAGAGGAACAGAGGGCATATGGAATTTATTTCATTTTTAACAAAAGAAAATTTCTCACCTAAACTTTTATCTAAAAAAAAATTGAATTTATAGTATTGAAGCGGATGATTATCATTAATTTCCATTTTCATCTTAACTGAATATTGGTTAACTTGTAAGGCATCATATCCCTCATTCGAAGATCAGTCAGGTTCTCTCTATTTCCCCAATTGATATAAAAATCTGTTCCACTTCCACCAAGGCACCATCATTTATCAAATTAAATCAAACTCACCAATTAGCAATTTGACACATTCCAAGACTGCCCCGAAATTCTAAATTGCCTCTTCGATTATGCAGCACATTCTACCCTTTGGATTTCAATGCTCATTTACATTTCAATATGCTGATTATTATAATTCAAAACCTAAAATTCAAACAAATAAAATATTTCTTCTCATTTTTGGAACCCAACTATTCTAAATGTGGAGAAAAGTTCTTCCTAGTTCATTAGAACGAGAAGAAACATTCACAGACATTCTCAAAAGTCCATCAATGAAGTCCTTATTTACCTGTTTCAAGTCCTTCATCTCAAAACATTTTCTTCGCTCCACCCGAAGAGACCCACTTCTAATCCTCGATCGCTTTCACTGGAATCACAATACCCGGGGTCATCACCTATTTCTGCTAGATGTCAAAAGAAAAAAGCTCAAACAACTTCACATTCCAAGAGTCACAGATTCTGACATGGATTTTAAGATGGTGGGTTCATGTAACGGTTTACTTTGCATCATTCATTATTCTTTGGACCCAGACTCCACCATTTTTCTTTGGAACCCAGCTACAAGGCAAACCAAACGGATCCTAGAGCCACAAAACGCTTTGCTAACTTATAATGTGCCACCACATTGTCTCATAGGCTTCTATTTCAACAACATTGACAGTGATTATCATGTGGTAAGGGTTCACTCTTTTGAGGACACAAACAATGCATGCTTGGATGATTCTCTCTCCAAAATTTGTGCTCTTCGAGCGGAAAAGTACTCTCAACGTACAGGGTTGTGGAGAGAAATCAAATTTGGTAATAATAATGAGAGTGTAACTGTGAATGGATGTTTGTTTTGGACTGAGAATAGTGTGACATTGGAGGAAACTTTGTTTTGGGTTGCTATGGAGGTAAGTGACAAGGTTAGTCACGAAATGATTATTTCTTTTAATACATGCAACAATGTGATAAGGAAGATTGAGTTGCCTTGCTTTGTTAAGGATTGTGCTGAAGTTCATAAGAAACTTGTAGTGTACAAGGATTTAGTTGCAGTTATTATTTGCTCAGAAACTGAAACTATGGCACAACGCTTAGATTTGTGGGGTTTTTATGATAAGTACGAAGGTATAGAGTGTTGGTGGAAGTTACAGACGATAGGAATGTTTTCGAGATTAGAGCGTCCAGTTGGTATTTTTAAAAATGAAATTCTTATGTCAACGGATAAGGTAATACATAGTGTTAGTGGAACCATAGCTTTGCTTCCCGAAGATGATTTTGGAGCTGAATTTTCCTATAACGTCTTCAATCATGTAGGGAAATGGAGATTCGACACTTCATACGGTGGAAATGTGGTTGTGGAGGAAGATGGTCCCGTTGAAAACGAAGGATTCTCATCGCATGATTTGTTCATCAGTAACATCAACAAGTTAAGCATCGATTGAAGACATTGTGTAATGAAGATTGGAGATTTGAATAGTCTTACTTCTTTAGGTTGTATGCACTATGGTTGTGAACGCAATCGTTTAGTTTAACCCTTTTATCTTGCAGATGAATTTTCTGATATAGTAAGATGCTCTACACGAGTACAAATACTATCCATGGATCGTGTTCTATAACATAAAAAAAGTAGTTTTAAGTAATTATTTTTCTTTTTACTACCTTCTTTCTCAGAGCTGACAGAGCCACAATGTTTCTGTTATATTCAAAATTCAGATTAAATAAAACATGAATTGTTTTGTTATGTCAGCTTCTATGATACATTTTTTACAATGAGAGCGTGGTAGTAAAAATCTGACAAAGATCCGGGGCAAATAATTGAACAAAATTTGTCCTTCAGAAATTAGAACTATGATGGGTAGTTTCCAGATAATCTCAAAAAATGTCACACTTGAAAGATACAAGTCCCACCGGGATAACATCCATGTGTTTCTCACCATTGGTAAAACAAAGATGGGAAATATTACCAATTTCAGTAAATCTAGAATAATCTTCAGATAGACATGAATAATCATAAGCACTCAAATGATTATGCGACGCAGAGGTTGATTTTAGAAAAAGTTAATGCGCATGCAAGTGGGTGATGCATGATAGATATATGATGGCTATCTAAAAGTGAGTCCTAAATCTAAAAATAGGGAAAATGATGAGAAATGTATTAGGCCAAGAGCCAGAAATTTCGGTGGGTTTTAGAATTGAGAACAAAGCCACCATTTTGACCTTTCCTCTGAACGCTAACGCAGGTGCAGAAGCTGTTCTGAATGAGAAACTCAGCGGTGTCAATGGCTTTGATGCCTTTCATGGAGGCACCAGAAGGGCGCTTGTAGCCCAACAGGGCAGAGGAAATGCTGCGCTTCTGGCCAATGATGATGAGCTCAACGCCATGGCTTTTGCTGTGGGAGAGGATGGTGGAGGCCCTGTCACGGCCATCGGTGTCGACCCTCAAGGCGTGGACCTTCATATTGGGCTGGGAGGCACGGCAGGCGAGCTTCATCTCCTCAAGAAAGTCGACGCCGTCGCCGTCGGGGGGAGGGGGGGCGAGGTCGAGGGAGGCGGTGGCGGAGGAGCCGAGGGAGGGCATCTTGAGGAAGGTGGAGATGGTGTTGCGCCAGGAGGTGGGGTTATCGACGTGGAGGAGGATGAGCTCGTCCTGCTCCACCACGGCGTGGGAGAGGGCGTACTGGAGGGCGCCAGCGGACTCGCGCGTGGGGTCGGCGACCACCAGGACCTTGCGGGAGGTCTGCGCGTGGCCGTTGCGGTTGCTGGCCATGCCCTGCACCATGTCGCCGCCCAGAGAGAGAGCTAGAGAGAGGGGATATAATGGGACACGCTCATGCTTTTCGACGGCAACAGATGGGAATTGTTAGCTTCCAATTTTGCTGCTTTTTTTGTTTTTTTCTATCCTATCTTTCGGCTCAAACTCAAACACCGTCCTTCAGACTCGGTCAAACCTCCATGCAATCTTGTTATTATTTTTTGAATTTAAGTATATACAGGTCGTCATTCTTTTAAATTATTTCTCTTTTTCATTCATTTATATTTTATTATTGTATCATGTCAATACTTCCTAATTACACAATACCAATTTATTTATATTTAATATTTTTTACGTCAATATTGATAGTTATTTAAAAACTAAGAGACCGAACGAATTTCTCATTTTGATTTATCGAAACTGAACTCGATACCAAAATTAAAAAATATATATATATATATTCACACACTCTTGTCAACCAAATAAATTTGTCTAACTAATAATAATTTGAATAACGAGTTATAAAATATCATAACTTAATTCTTTGCTTTTTTTGGAACACCGTCATTTTTCTAAAGTGTCCGATAAAATTTGCAAATATTGGAGCCCTGGTTCCTTTCTTCGGAGACTTGTAAACAATATATCACAGTCCACAAGGCAACTCCAATCTTGGCTGAGCAAGTGCCACGATCGTCAGTGGCGAGGATCTAGAGATTGTTAATGCTTACTCGTGATGAATCGTGTTGTGTCATTGTGGAAAGAGCAGTTCCTTAATGACACAATCTTTGGATTTTTCAGATTGGTAAATCAATCACAGGACAGGTTATATATAGCGCTGTTTTTTAAAATTCTGTCTCAAAATAAGAAATAGTAGTTTTTTTTCTTTGTAAAGTTAAATACCCTTTGTGAGGAGTATTCTATAGATTGGATACATATTGATTATTGATATACTGAATGCCCGTGAGGAATATTCTAGCATAGTGATTCAGTCGATTCATCAAAACCTAATCAAGGATTTCTCCAACTTAAATGTGAAGCGAGATCTTTTCAGGATAATTAGATATTTAGCAATTGGATGGAAAACTAAGAATGACTTCTCTAACCATTATTAAGAAAATAAATAAGCCAAGATTGACCTTTATTTCCAGCTGGTAACCCATAATCTCGTGAATATTTGAATGCACAAAACAAAGGGAGAAAAAAGCATGATGAATGGAAAAATGCAAACTTAAAGAAGAGGAACCAGAATTTTGCCTTTTTTTTCCAGCTGAAAATCCATAATTTCGTGGAACAGACAGTAATACAAGGCGAGGGACAATTACTATTAAATGCATATAAAAGAAGAAAAATCTGAGGTAGCATCCAAGAAACTTTCCACTATAACAAGGGATGAGAAGAATGTTGAAAAAAAAAAAGGGTACTGTACGTTGTACACCAAATTAGCACACTTAATACCTAAGTTAAACATACGAGCATAATTATATAGAATACAACTTAGCACAGGGCGGCGGCCATATATGGTCTCTTGGGGACCAAACAATGGTACATTAAATTATTAGACCGCGGAAATGCCTGCGACCGGTTGGTCACTTTCAAACTCGCATCAAGACCCTTAAAAACTGGGAGGTGAATAGGATTAGTAGCTGTTTTGCCATATTTGTTGGGACTGCTTAGGTGGTTGGCTTTGAGAACCAGCAAGGGATCCTTCCCTGGGATTCTGCTGCTGATGTTCCAGAGAAATCCCAGTCTGAGAATGATAGATATTAGGGTAACCAAGGGATTCAAAATGCTGTGAAGGCTGTTGATTTTGCCGAAATCCCCCTGGTTGTTGATTCTGTCCCTGGAAGCTGTAATACGTGCTGGGAGGAACTGCAGACATTGTTCGAGAGCTAGGTCCATGAACCCACATGGGAGAATTCTCATTCTAACACAAGAAAACAAAAAAAATCAGCCCATCCCTTCTTAAAATAATTAAACAGTGGCACCATTCTCTACTCATTTTCTCACCCTGTACGTAATTCAATCAACAATTTTTTTTTTTTTTGTAATTTGTTAACAACAAAAGTAATCGTGGGACACATCATAAACCTTTTGCCTTTAAAAGAACCATAATTTTTCACAAGCATAAATATAAAATAAAAAAAAAATAATAACTCCATTTTGTAAAGGACACACCACCGATGACACCAAAAATGATTGTCCTAAGAGAAGAAATTGTACTTGGGAAACAAAAGGCAGTTAAAAGTGCATTCACATGAAGATCTTTCTACCTGCTGTAGTGAAATCATATGATTGTTGTCCTTGTACTGAGAGTTTATAACATCATATCCAATAGTTGTACTAGTAGGCGCAGCAGGTGGATTCAAAGGATAATTTCCTCCAGGAATGCTGGTTGAACTTCCATAACCATATCCAGATGCAACAGGGGCAGATTGAGGCAAACTACTGACAGAAATGCTATTTTTATATTGCGGAAGCATGGCTGCCAGAGATTGGTGGTATGTGTTATTTCCAGCAAAAGCCTGCTGAAATGCTGATGGCATATAGGTATAGCTCTGGGGCAAAAATGGATAGCTAATCATATTAGCAAAATGTCCCAGAGGAAGAGTAGGCTGGGAATAGGGATGCACAGCAAGGTGTTGAGGAAGTGCAGGTCCAGTGGCAACATTGGCACCAGGCAGAGCTTGTGGATTAGGTTGAGGCGTGGAAATGTTGTTTGCTCTTAGAGCCTACATGTTGAAAAATAAAATTAAAAAACAATAAAATCAAGTTACAAATATAACATTAAACTTTATATATCTGTTTTTAGTCTATCCTCTGTTTTCTAATATCCTACACCCTCAAAAGTGCTTGTCAACATCAAAAGTATCACAGACTTGGCAGCAGGAGATTTGACTTAATATGCAAGTATTTGGGTGCTTATTATTAACAGAAATGTTTCACTAGTGCTTATTACTGACAAGAATATCAGTATAAAACTGCAGCCCCAAAATATAATCAGACACTGTAAGCTGTAATCCTATATTTATTTATGAAATATGATTCAACCTGACTCAAAACTTGTACATAAAAGAACTATAATAAGCTAGAGCAGAAATGCACCTCTGACATGGTTATAGCGGGACCACCGATTGAAGAAGCAATGTTGCTATATTTTGCAGGCATTGATTGTGTTGCAGGGAAGGGTGAGTATGGGATATCCTCCCTTGCTGTTTGAACAGTTGAAGCCAACAGTGCACTGGGCAAAGAATTAGTATAAGCCTGCTAAAAAACAGAACTTTAAGTTTGATGCAGATTACAGAATAGCTAGGTAATATTAATATGAAAATATTGAAAATAAAAAAAAAACTACAGTAATATCAGTTTTTTTACTTGGTATAACTGTACTACATTATAGCAATGAATGATCCTTCACCATATTCTAGTTTTCTAGAAAAAAAAAATATTACATTTTATAACAAGGGTAAAGTTCACGTCATACAAGTTTGTTTATTAGCAACGTGGATTGAAATTCAAACTCAGCTATACCTGTGCTAGAAAGCTAATACACCAACCCAGCAATAAGAATGGAATATCCAAGTGGAGGCATTTATATGCCCAATTCACAATTCCATCATAAAATATACTTAAAAATTGGCCATTCAAAAAGTACTTTTTACAATAAACCTGTAGTCTACCCACAAGTTCTTTTGTTCAGAGAGAATAAGCAATATTTATTCTCAAAGGAATGAATAGAAGCATAGCACTGACCATCCCCTAGTTTTAACACAAGATCTCAAATCATTTTAGAAGTTAGAACCAACTCAAATTAACTTAAAAAACCCAATACAAGTCCCAGCAGTGAAATATGTTGTATATAGGAAATCCAAAGATCCAAGAATTCTATGCATTACCATTACACTAGAGAAGGGGGAAAGGTTCTGTATCTGCGAGCTTGTCTGTGAATGAGGGTATGCAACATCTGGTTGGGCATTTTCATAAGTAAACTCGTGTGAAGAAGAAGGAAATGAATATTGGTTTTCCTGAGCAGTTTCAGGGGGTTCAGATTTCAAAGCCTCTGATTGTGAAATGGAGGAATGCTCATAAGTCCCAGCATCCACACCAGTAATGTGAGCTAAATTCCCGTCCGAGGTAGTAGTAAGATGCTCATCCCCATAATAGTCAGGATTTCTGCAAGAAAAATGAAACACAAACCTAAGTAAACTAGGAATGACCAGAACATTGCAGCAAAGTATTATACTTTTATCTAAACACATGCCTAGCCTCTGAGGACCCAATTGTTGCAACATCAGTTGCTCCAGATGTATCCTCCAAGTTACTTTTCAAGGGCCTAGATGCATATGGGCCAGATCCAGAAAGGGAAGCGTCATTTGCAGATCCAAAACTTCCAAAGCTCAGATTTAAGCATTCCGGGGAATGAAGTTGTAAATGATTTGGAATTACTACAGAAGAATTTTCCTCCTCATGTTCTGTCTCCTGATCATTTGTGTTTAAATTTAATTGCTCCAAGTTTGCAGCCACTGATGAAACACCACCTTCAGCTGAAAGGAAGATGTTACAAAAGTAGGACTTAGAAACCATAAGTATGTAGGAATATGTTTGATATAGTCATGAACTTCAAATAATAGTATTATAATAATGCTTTCTAAACCATTAGAGATCATTCACAGGCACATAACTATATTAGTAATACAATATTTCCTTTTAAACCACTCCGGGTATAAAGGATGAGAAAGAAAATAATAATAATAATAATAATAATAACAACAACAACAATAATAATAGTAATAATAACAAAATAACAATAACAATGATGAACACTTGGATTGACATTGACTTGTCAAATGGATATTACAATAATCTCTCGTGATGCTATTTTAATGACTTACATGATTCTAGTCAAATCTAGCAATAGCATGTGTAATTTTAAGACCGAATCTAGCAATAGCATATATAATATTAAGATCAAATCAACAAATACACAGGCAACAGAGATAGCAACATGAAAACTGCACAATTTCAAAGCATTTTTATATGGAAGTACTGACACCATCACTCAAATAATTAAGACCCAGTTTGTATAAACTTCTCAATAGCACTAATAGGAAAATAAAATGAGGTAAAATAAATCAAACTTCTTTCACAAGTTGAAAACAACTTTAGAAGCCCTTTGATCTAACTTCACTTCTGGAAATGCTAGAAATTTGATTTATTTTGCCTCCCAAAT